GGGGACCACCCGTGTCATTCCCTCCTTACCGCCCGCCTCGCTCCGACCTCCGTCTTCGCAAGGATTCGGAGGCCAGCCATCTCTCCTTCCTTCGCAAAATCCTCTCCACCCCCGGCTAGCTTCTCTAGTTTTACCTCCTCTCCTGACGATGTCTTTTTCTGTTCCCTTGTTGGATTTTTTTTTGGGGGGGTGGGGAATAGGGCACCAAACTTGTAGTGACTGCCAAGGGTGCCCCTGGTCCACTGTCCTCTCTTCCACACACTCAGAGAGTCCACCAAGTTCTGTGTCTTCCATCTCTCATCTCTGCACCAACGATTTCCAAGTTTTCCTCTCTCCTCAGTACCTCACTTCCATTTTGGGACTGCTTAGCTATCGTCGCTAAATTTTTATTTCATTTTTAATTGAGGTATAATTCACATCTGTCATTGTGAATCAATCACCCTACTTTTTCCTTAAGTTGAAAATGCATCTTAACCTCCAAACAAACGTCACGCCCAGCCCTGCCTCACGCTCACTGTCGGCTGTGTTACACCACACGATTCACACCTGTTTCCTTGATCTGCCGCTAAATAAAGATGTTTCTGAAACTAATAGTACATCATATTGAGTGATCACTGTTTAAAGAGCACTATAATTTATGGAGAACCAACGGAAAGGAATATTCAATTTCTCAGCTAAGTGTGCAAGTAAATGGGGCATTAGGAAGACCAGTCAGAGCAGGACTCTAAGGGGAGAGTTTTAAGCCAACTTGAAAGGAAATTAAAACTGGACTGAGATAGGAGTTTGCCAGTTATCTCAAATCTTAAACATTTTTCTGATGTTTGATCATTTATTTGCATATAAACTATACAACATATGGGGCAAGAGGACTGATATTGCTGTATTTCTTTTTATTATCCAGTACTTTGTAACGTACATGGCTATTCACAATTAATATATTTCATCATGTCTAGAGAGCCAACTTTCAACTGCCTGATACATTATTACTTCTTACCCAAAGCTAGTGTTTTAAAAGATCAAATTTTATTCTATTTACCTATCAACTAGTCCATTTACATTAGAAAAAAATATCAAGAGTCTTAGGAAAGTACTTCAAAGCATACATATTACAAATAATTTCAAAAGCAAATAAATTATAAAACTGAGTGGTGACCAGCTTTTCTACCATATATTAATCTTTAATGAGAAGCAAGTATTATTAGAAAAAATATAAATGATATTTGGCTATTTATATATTTATAGCATGTAAAGGTATTTCTATGCTATATAGTATAAATAGTATTTTGAATACCAAAGAATAAAAAAGTCAGTGGAAGGACCGTCCTATTTCAGTTTTATAAAATAATTCTTTAGACAGAAGATTTTCAGAGCATATTACTTGAAATGACAATGATCAGCAATTGAGGTCTAAAGAATGCGGTTTCATTTTACAACTCCCTAATTCCACAGGGCTGCCCACGAAGCACGGGGGGGGGGGGGGGGGGACCGGCTGGGGCCGGAACCGGGGCCCAGGCCGCGCCGGTTCCTTCTTTCGGGTCCGCCAGCTGCATTTGCTTTAAGCATCAGACTGTCTGGCAGCCCCACAGGCGGGCTTCCACTCCCCGTAGTAGAGAAAAGGCTTTCTGAGTCATGTGATTTTTCTAGGGATACAGAGCTCTCAGAATTATTAACTACAGGGAGAGAGTACAAGTCAAAACTCATTCAATGCATTCCAGTGTGCTCAGATGGAGAGAACAGGTGCCTGCACTCCCAGCTGAAGAAAAACGTAGAGGGCGCCTCCCAGCCCCGCCGCTGCCTCTGACTAAGCAGACCCAGGGATCAGCGTCACTGCCGCGGAGAAACGAGGCAGCCTCCGAGGGACCAGGAAACCTCTGTATTCACCACTAGCGCGAGCTGAGCGCCTGAACGCCACTCCTTCCCTCTGCGGTGGTGATTTACAGAGATACAGACCTGCCATCTAGCGGCGAAGAAGAAAAATAGCAAGGTGAATTGCATGGAAAAGAAAGTCGTGATTTTATTTTCAAAACAGTAGTGAAGCACACCAAAGGATAGTAAAAGTTCAAAATGTGTAGGGGAACTAATGAGTCTATTTGCCTCTAAAATGTATTTTGATACCTGATTCTTATAAGTGGTACAGGTGAAATGTAATATAATAACTTTTAAAATAAACTTATCTCATCCACCTGGCAGGTTCGGCATGAGACAGGATTAAAGAGGGTAACTGTCCAATTACCCATGTGAAAGTGTAGTTGTTATCATAGTGGAGAGAACATGACATATAAAACCAAACAGAACTATGTTCAAATCCTCCCTCCTACCCTTTATCTGTTTTGTAGACATCAAGCAAGTTAACTTCTATAAACATGATTTTCTTCATCGGGTAAATATAAACGATAATAGTTACCTTAAAGAATTGTTATAAGAATTGCTAAATGTAATAAGATGGGGTGTACAGTAGATTGGTCATTGATTTTCATTTCCTGTATCACTTGTGTGGCCAGTTACTCTCACAAAACACACGTCACCTAAGAAAGAACGGGTCCATAAAATAAATTTATGACCAAGGAGCCAATAACTCCAAAAGTAGATAATGTCATTGTTGAGTGCTTAACCTCAGTTACTTACAAATATTTTACCCCTCAATTCGCTCATTGTATTTCCTGGCTTCTGGACACTTCGGTGACAACAAGAAAAGGAGGTACGATGCTTAAATCAATAGATTTGAGCCTTTGGTGTCTACGCTGTAACATCAAACTTTTAAAGTCACTCAGCTCCTTGAGTTTTCTGCTTATTACAATATATTTGACCATGGTTCTCAGCTCAACAAAAACAGGAAGTCACTACAATTTTATACCCATGGAGATATATATAAAAGTATATCACAGCTGGAATCTTAATGTATAGAGCAATGTTGTATATGTTGCATCATTATTGATAGTACAGATTACTTGTCCAGGTTTTCTTTGGCACTATCATAAATGAATTCTGTCCAGAAAAAGCCCAGCCATTGTTAATATAATGAGAACGGTTTGCGTAGCATCCATGTGACCTGGCAGCCAGGGAGAGTGGACTGGAATGCACATGCGTGAATAATGATGACTTCACTGTACTAGTCAGTGGGGGTGGTAGATGCTGTTGAGTGAGCATGTGTACTTTGTGGCCGTCACATTCAAAATGTGACTGAGTGAGTAGAGCCACAGATCTGCATCCAATTTTGCATTAAGCTTGAACATTCCTCCACAGAACTTACTCAGTGATTCAAAAGGCCACAGCTAAGGGCAACTGGTGATTGGCAGCTTCATCACTACTACAGGTTCTCCCATGCATAACGATTCCTGCAGAGTTTTTTTGGTGAAACATCCAATCACCCAGGTGACTCAGCCCGTCTACAGTCCAGATTTGGTGCCCTGTGATTTCTGGCTTTTCCCAAAGCTAAAATCACCTCTGAAAGGGAAGAGATTTCAGACCATCAGTGAGATTCGGGAAAATATGACGGGCAGCTGACGGTAATTTGGAGAACTCTGTGAGGTCCCAAGGTGCCTACTTTGAAGGGGACTGGGGCATCATTGTCCTATATACAATGTTTCTTGAATCTTGTATCTTCTTCAATAAATGTCTCTATTTCTCAGAGCGCATGGTTGGATATTTTCTGGACAAACCTCACGCAACAAAGAATTTAGTAATATATGTCTTGGAAATAAGAATTTAGAAGCATCTAATACAGTATCTCAAATCACAACTTAGCTGTGGCCCCCCCACCAAAAACTTTTTAAGCTGAAAAACAATTATATTTTGAGGGCACTACTTTTCTTCATTATTTCAAACTTTATTTCTCTTTACCTCTTTTTATCTTTCGTCATCTTCTTCACATCGGCTAATCACTACAAGGCCAATTAAATAACCATCAGCCGAGTCCACCACATGACAACAAATAAGGGGAAAAAACTTGGAAAACCTGTTTTATGACACTGCCCTTTAGGATATCTTTCCTCTTACAATAATGGTTTAACCTAGTTTTTGAAAAGTAACAGTGAATTACAAAATGAACTTCCCGGCCGATGTTATACTCTTAGCTGTCCTCCAGGGGGAGCACTACTTCCATGAATGATTCAGGACTGCTTTTTTTTTTTTTTTTTAAGGAAATCATTTCATACTTGGAAAATTCTCAAAACTCGTGAGATTCTTTAATTTTACAGAGCAGAACACTTTTCCCCAAGGAGCCTGTTATGTTGCGCATCCTAACTACACACAGAACTAAGACTAGAACTCAGGCATGAGTTTTCTTGTTTCCCACTCAAGAGAACAGACACTCTTCTTACTTAGTAATTACTTTATAATTTCTAACCCTAAGATATTTTCAAGAGCATACTTTGGAGAATGTATAAGTAAAAATTTTTAAATGGTTCTATGTCCAAAAGAGCAATTGCTATCCACAATTATCATTCTATATAAGCATTTCCTTTCTCGGAGGTTTTTTTTTTCAGTCCTAAGTCCTTTTTGGTACAAGGAAAAAAACACAAAATTTGTCTTTTTAGTAACAGAAAAAAAAGTTACCATGAAAATTAAGCAGACACTAGCTACTGTTTCATCTACCAAAGCAACTTAAGAATATTACTTGATTTTAGAAAACCTCTGACAGACTTTTTTAAAAGTCACACCCACGTGACTATGAGTCAGGTCAAGCCCATGTCCACAGGCCGGTTCCTGGAGGGGCCACCGTGTCCTGCGGGAGCCAGCTGTTGGAGGCCTGGCTCTGGCTGGATACAGAACGATGCAGCTTCTGCAAAGCTTGTTCTCAGTTCCACTTCAAGGCCAATTTTCTGTGCAAAGTCTAAATGAAGAAAACACCCCTTCACGCCAGGCTGAATCCCCGGGCAGACTAAGTAAACCCAGCGAGTGCAGACTGGCTAGCTGGACAGATAAAAAGAAGCCAGGGCCCATCACAATTTTAAAACAAACAAGAGAGAAAAGGATTTGACATCCTAATAAGATCTTCTTACCTGCTGAACAGCGTCTGAACAGTTTTTCAGAGTTTCTGAAACAGGAGACTGGGATTCTGGGTTGGAAAGGAAGAAGACAGTAAATATATTAAAGAACAAATTTTCCGCTCTCTTCAATCAGAAAACAAAATGAACTAAAATCTTTAACCATAAGTACCCAAAACACCCAGTTTATCTTCCAATTGTACTTTTCGTATGTATAGTGAGAACAGGACCAATTTTCAATATATGAAACACATATGAGATTCTGTCCAGGTAAAGTCCGGCCATTGTTAAAATAACAAGAACGGTTTGGGTGACATTGATGTAGCCTGGCAGCCAAGGGGAGTGGACTGGAATGCGCATGCGTGAACAATGATGACTTCACTGTACCAGTCAGTGGGGGTGGTAGACACTGTAGAGTGAGCATGTGCACCATGTGGCCATTGCATTCAAAATGACTGAGCAAGGAGAGCAACAAATCTGCATCAAATTTTGCATTAAGCTTGAACATTCCTCCACAGAAACTATTCAGATGATTCAGAAGGCTGCCAACTGTGGGCAACTGGTGATTGGCAGCTTCATCTCGACAACACGCATGATGCTCCTCATGCATCACATCTTGTGCAGAGTTTTTTGGTGAAAGGTCAAATCACCCAGATGACTCAGCCCCCCTACCACCCCAATTTGGTGCCATGCAAATTCTGGCTTTTCCTAAAACTAAAATCACCTTTGAAAGGGAAGAGATTTCAGACCGTCAAAAAGATTCAGGAAAATACAATGGGCGCTAGATGGTGATTGGGAGAACTGTGTGAGATCCTACTTTGAAGGAGATGGAGGTGTCATTGTCCTATGTACAGTGTTTTTTGTATCTTGTATCTTCTTCAACAAATGTCTCTATTTGTCATATTACATGACTGGACATCTTCTGGACAAGACTCGTATATAGTGACCAACACTCATGTCATTAGTTACTTTTAAAATTGGAATAGGCCTGTGCCCTTCTTGACACATAATCATAATTACTTTTCTCAATGGCTAGTTTCTATTTTGTGCCAGAAAAATACTTGCTAAGAAATTCATCTTTCAGATTATTCATTTAGCTTGAGTCTGCACAATGACGGAACCCAGCTCACCAATCTTGAGGGATGGGATCTCAGATGGCTTATATGATTATTGACAAATTACCTTCCGATTTCAGTGAGGGATGATGAACACTGTCACCAAGAGGCACTGAGTAATAAGGGATTTTGATCCTTTGGCCCATCACTCTGGGATTTATGAGACTGCCAATACTTCATGTTGAAAACCTAAGGGATAGGGTTTCCTTTTTAAGCTAGAGGACACTTTCTTCCTCCTTGTATCCCCCACTTCTAGAATAGGACCCGGCACATAGTAGGTGTTTACAATAAGAGTATTGTAGGAGGGAACAAAAGAAGTGATCAAGAGAATGACCCAACCATGAAAGTGTGTGCCACAGTGAAGAGTGGGTGACTTGGGGAGGAAGGAGAGAGAATTTGGTAACAGGCAACACCGATACCACTTGCCATTAGCTGCTCCCTGCCCCTCGGCTAAGGGTATGTCGTTCAGAAGAAATCATTGAGAATAGCATGAATTAATCACCAACGGATGTCACCGTGGTGATAGAGTATCAACAAGTGGCCTTCAAACACAACCATTTTCCCAATACTACATTCCACTGAGTTCATCCCAACGGACCTCTTCTCTCTTAGCTCACAAATCTGTACTCTGACCTTAACACCCCAGTTAGCCAATTTCCAATGAATATCTTCACCAACAAAGCAAGTCAACAGTTACTATTAAAGCAAACTCTGGAACATTCTTGTTTTCTGCCCTTAGGCACCACCAACCCCCCACTCCCCAAAGACTGCAGACCCAAGATGAGATCCTGGGGCTTTGTGTCGACAGAGAAAATTCTCTTACTCTTTTTGCTATTTAGATAGAACTGGTAGAACATGATCTGTTGTTCACTTTACAAATACATACATTTCCTAGCTTTTTTCTATAGTCCCAGACCTGACTGCCTGCCCCAAAAAGCAAACTTCTGGGCTCTGAGAGTACATAAGAATGTGTGCCGTTTACCAAAACAGTTAGCTACCAAGATGCATCAGCCAGTATTCTGAACACTACACCTGAACTCTCGGTTCATTCAATGGCGAGCAGAATTGAATTAATTCTCCCATCCCGATCCCTTCCACTAGGCTTTTTATCCCCTTGAATCAGTGTGTTACCACATCTACGAGAAATGTATCAAAATACTCTCTTCAAACCCCCAAGCTGAGCTATAGACGTTGTGGAGGGTGCAGGATTGGAGATGAACAAGACGCACAAAATAACCGCACTAAAAACCATGGAACGATGACAGAGAACAGTGAGGAGCAGAAGGAGGCAGGAGTGTGAGGAAGGAAGATGACAGAGAATAAACGTGAGAAGGAGCGAGAGAGGGCAGGCTCCGGGGAAAGTCCGGGGAGGGAGGAGCCTGAGAAGGCGAGCACAGTGTGTACAGAGAGACAGCACATGGAACACAGGGCAAGTGAACCGCCTTCTGTTCTGTCTTCTCCTTTTCTCTCTTGCTGTTTCAGTATTTACAACTTTTTACTTTTTCATGTAAGAGTAGCTGGTATAGACCCTTACGCTAGGTATATGAGTGACCCAACATTTTTCTGTTTTACGGTGTGATCACCCCACTATTTCTGGCAATCATCTGTCGCTGCATAAGTTCATCACGATATTATGGACTAAATTCCCCTTCCCACCCATCTCTTCACGCCCTCCCTTCCGGTAACCACCCCCTTGGTCTCTGTTTCTATTAATCTCTTCTCACTTTGTTTTGTTTTGTTTTCCACATGTAAGTGAAACCATATGGTATTTGTCTTTCTCTGTCTGACATTTCATTTAGTATGATACCCTCTAGGTCCATCCATGGTGTTGCAAATGGCAAGATTTCATTCTTTTTCACTGCTGCACAATATTCCACTCTGAACACATAGCACATCTGTATCCATTTGTCAGTGGTGAACACCTCACTTGCTTCCGTATGTTGGCTACAGTAAATAATGCTGCAATGAGCACAGGGGCACGTATATCTTTCCAAATAAGTGGTCTCGTTTCCTTGGATAAACACCCAGAAGTGGGACTGCTGGATCACATGGTATTCTAGTTGTACTTTTTGGAGGAATCGCTGGCTACTGAGCTGGCTCCAGTCAAACGGTCACTTGGAAGGTGTCACTTGGTACTTGAGAAATCCGCTCAGTGCAAACATCCTCCTTAGAATGATCGCTCCTCATCCAAACTTGGTGGCACGTAGCACCAACACTGCTCTCGCAGGATCCAGGGTGCATTGGGGAACCGCCTTCTACTCTGGGCCTGCCAGACCATCCCCATGAAATATTCATCCACTGGGGCGCTTGTGCTTACAGAGGAACCGGTGAGCACTCTCTCAAGAGTACATTTAAAACCGGCAACTGCACTCACTCTTCTTAAGAATTAGAAACCAGACTGTTTTTTAGAAAACGTTACTTTGAAGCACAGTCAGGGAAAGAACACTCCTGACAAATTTTTAAAGGTTCCATTCCGTTCAAGTTAGCTCACAAAATCTAAGCATAACCTAAAATCTGGTCTTCTTGGAATTCCAAATACATTTCAGAAATGATCCGTCATCACAAAATAAGATTATGGCTCATAAAACAAAATGCACTTGGGGGAATTTTACATTTGCAGAGAGAGGATAGCAAAAATATTAGTAAGCTATGTCCCTCTGCTTTGACTGAAAAATAACTCAAATAGACCCTTTAAAATACACAAAATAGTCCTTCCAAAAGTGAATTAAGCAGTTTCTAACACTCATATTTTCAGTTAAAATGCACTCATCTATAGGCTTATTAAATTAAAGCTTCTTTAATGGTATACATCAATTCTACTTAAATGTAGTCAATTTAATTGAAAGATAATTCATTAAACTTCATTTAAATAGCATGACTTATGCTTAGCTGCCTAATGGATGGTAGATGTTCTTATTTCTAGTGCACCGGATCCTTCCACAAGTGAGGGCAGGGCTGAACGTGTAATCTCCCCGAAGGGGCCCAGCGCTCTGCTCTGCGTATGGACTATTTCATAGTGCAGACCTGCCCTTCGTCGCCAACAAAAATATCTACACACACACTTACCTCTTCTATGTAAGGGGGAAATGCAGGCAGATTTCCCAAAAAATAAAAACAAAAAAGAAAATGGAGAATGACGTATAGGACACCCAGTCAAGCTGTTCTGGTACATTTACCGCTCGGTCAAGGGAGATGTCCAGACACAGAACACTCTGGAGCTCACCCCGGCCCCTCCTGCAACTTCTGCGTGGTCTCAGCTGAATGAGTGTTAAAGTAGTTGGACTTCTGGGCGTGAGCCGATGACACTGTGTTTGCACTACACCACACGGAATCCCTTTTCTTAGGGCCCACTAGAAACACTTCTTTACAATAGGAGAGGCCACAAAAGTGCTTCTCTGAGAGACTGTTGCTTTCTGTCTCGTGGATGCAGGAGATGATGCAGAATTAATGGTTCCCACTTCACTTTCTTCTTTAAATCTGAGGGGTACGTTTCCAACTGCCTTTGAAAACAGTGGGTCCTCCTGAAATGCATTTCAATATGTTAGCTAACCTCAGCTTCCTTTTATTGTTCCAGCCGAAATTCCTTTCCATTTGATCTGTTTTCATGTGTAATCCTTTCCACACCTTAGATATTTATAAGTGGCTCAAATCTTTTTTTTTTTTTTTGGAGCAAAGTTGGGTTCCAATCCTTTCAGCCAGCATGCAAATATACTTTTTAGAATTTTTGCACAAAAAGCTTCTGCCAGCTCTCCATCCATATATTGTTCTCCAGAATTTTCTGTGCCCAAATTGCCTTTCTCAAAAATCATTCCTACATTCACTCTCTTGGCCACTCATATTTTCAAAGAAAGATAAGGGATGCAATTTCCCAAAGACACGGCAAGAATAATCAAGTCCCTACTCATATCTGGACATCTAGCTCTTGTTCTCCATAAATTTGAAAACTAAAGTGAATCATTTCTTTGATGTTGTGTAGAGCTATTGAATAACCTTTGAAACTTAGTTTTGAGCCTCTAAAATGTTCCACAGGATGTCTCAGAGAGTTTGTATTGGATGCACAAAACTCTCCCTAAAATGTTTGTATTCATATGCTGAAGAGATAATTTATTACTTAGGTCTTTTTCAAAAAAAAATGTTCATTTATTCACTCAAATGTTTAAGTATATTCTATGTGTCCAAAGGTGTGGAAATGTTGGAATCTACAAAGATGGCAGATAGGGATAAGCAGACAAACTACAATACATAAAAATTCAAATAATAGAGATATTAATAATATACAGATAAAATGTCGCGAGACTCCAGAAAAAAGGACAATCCTGGGGGAGGGTCGCATTGTACAAATAAAGGTAAATGAAGAGAGAAAAGATGAAGAGGAAGCAAGACACATGAAAAGGGTTTCTTCTTGGGAACGGTTTCTGCCACCAGTTTTTGGAGCATGTCACGCCCTTATTTCCTGTCCAGCTAGCCTTACCCTTCCAGGTGGCATTCTATACTCTACAAGAGGCTGATTTTAACACCCCAGGCTCTTCTGTGGAGACAAGGCCCACTGTAGGGGGTCAGGATGGGGGTGAAGGATGCACGGGAACCTGCAGCCCTCCTGCCGCTCACTGGTGGGAGGACCCCAAGGCCTCGCCTTGGCCTCTGCACTGCAGACTCCTGCAGAGGAGGGTCGGTACCTTGGTCAATAGAAGGAGGAGAAGAAAAGCCTCCTTCACAGAAGGAATCATGAAAAAATTAAAGTGAGATCTACAAGAAAAGCAGAAGAGGCAGCACCACAAATCTGAATTAGCTGGACATGCGGAATAGTAAACACTATTAGGACAAGCTAGAAAACCAAAAAAAAAAAAAAAAGGGCTAAAGTAGAAGTTCCCAACTTTCTAAAATAGAACTGCTAGTCTTTCCTCTTTGAAAAAAATGATTGGACTCCTTCACTTTAAATTAACATGGAAAGGGGCTCCCTGTCACACACAGCAGTTTCAACCACGACGTCACCACACAACGCAACGGTGTGCAGCAAGAAGTTGTTAAGTGCACTGCCCAGCAGTGTATCTAGTAATAAATAAATGTTAGCAAAGTTTGCAATGGGTATATTTTTTTAAAAACCGTAGACTCTAGACAGGTTTTTCACTGTATTATGAACATTCTCGCTCTCACAGCTGGCTGGGCGGTGTGGCCCCCCAGGGTGAGAACGCCCCGCGGAGTCCCAGCAGGAAACGTGCACACAGCACCACGAGCACGCGGAAGGAACAAAGAATGGCCTATCGCTGCTGCCGCTGGTGACGGACCAGCTGGAGTGAAACAAGGCACCGCGGGGAATTACTGTTACTTACCTCCACCGTCCTCTTCAAGAAGGCATATTTTAAAAGGAGACAAATTATTATGTTAAATATGATTTGCTCTGGCATTTTACAAACTACATCAAACAATGATAAAAATTAGATGACAAACTTCCTGGTATCAATTCCAACTATCATCATTCACCAAACTAGAATTCCAATTACCCCTGATTAACTTTCAAACACAGTTTCACAGGTGTTTTTTAAATGTCCTAACATTTTAGACGATAATATAAATGTTTCAGTTAGAAAAGGTGAGAAAGATAGACACCCCAGGGAAAAGGAAATGAAGATATCAGCCTAATCAATGATGTAAAACATAAGACAGGAACCACTATTAAAAGAACTCTTAGGGCAACTGATCAATCCTACTACAGCCATGTGCCACTTAACCACAGGGACATGTTCTGAAAAACGCGTGGTTAAGCGATTTTATTGTTGTGCTATCACAGAGAGAACTACACAAACCCAGATGGCACGGCCCACTGCACGCCTAGGCTGTGTGGTCCGGGCTACTGCTCGAGGTTATGAGTCCGTAAAGCACGTCACCACACAAAACAACACAAGGTTAAATCAGGCACGAGAGAAAATGATGCAGTCAAGACACACAGTCACAGGAGATGTACGAGACTACAGCCAGCGTAACTCAGCACACTGCTTCACAGCAAAGATGTTTCCTATAAGGAGAAAAAAGCGCATAAATAATGACAAGGGGCTTCAGCATCATGGCCGACAGAGAAGACTCCACTGTTTCTCCCCTTACATTTACAATAAGTCAGACAACCATCACTCAAAAAGGATCCCGTAGCCAACACACAAGCGTGTTGGGAAGATGCACACATCAGGACGTCTGAAAGAGGGCCTGTTGGGACAAGCAGAGAAGCGGGGTGAGAACAGGGATGGCAGCCACAGATGCACTTCGGAGACTACCCGGGCCGTAGTGACGGAAGTTGAGCTGCAGCCCCCACTCTATAGCCTGGACCACAAGAGAAGCAGAAGCAGTTTTACTCCTGGAAAGGTGACCGCCCATACCACCTCCCTACACTGGCAGGACCAGGTGGAGCTGGCTGGGAAGCTGTGAACAGCCAGCAGTGCCATCAACAGCCGTGACGGGAAGGGGTGGAGCCACACATAGCAGTCTTGCCTCCTCCACCCACAACACATCCCAAAGAGCCTCGTCAAGTCAAAACCACCGCAGGAAAAGGAGGCGGCTCTCTTGGAACTGCAACACCAGTTCTCCACCCTGCACCAAACTCTGCCACCATAATCAAGGTCACCGGTCACAAAGGGGACACCAATCATCCCAGGGGTTATGTGGCACTTTCTCTCACTGAAGCAATGCAGCTCTACCACAAACCCAGAGGCACAAAGAGCCCAGGTAAGAGAAAACAAACAAAAAAATGCACTACAACACTATCTAATGAAAAGCAAAAGAAAGTACCCTACCTATCAACCTGCTGATTCATTGAGAGCAGAACGGTACATAAACCAGAAGTCAGTATCTCAAATGCATGGACAAGTAAACAATCCATCAGACACCATGAACAAGCAAGGTAGCTTTGGAACACAGAAATAAAATGAGGTCTCCAGAAACCAAAGTCATGGAAGACCAACTTAAAAGACTGAGAATTCAAAATTGCAGTTATGAAGAAATTCAAACATATATTGAATATAAGAAAACTCAGAAAGGCAGTTCAAAGAGCTCAGGAATAAAATTAATGAACATAGAGAGTACTTACAGGTATTGAAAATATAAAAATGAAACAAATTCTGGAGCTGAAGAGCTCAATAAACGCCATGAGGGATGCATTGGAGAACACTGGGAATCAAGAAGTCCAAATGCAAGAGAGAATTAGCGAACTTGAAGACAGAAATACAGAAATGACCCGAGAGAAAGAAGAGAGAGAACAGAACTAAAAATGAAAAAAACACTGTGAGAACTATCTGACTACATTAGAAAGAGCAACCTAAGGATAGCAGGTATACCAGAAGTAGAAAACAGGGAGAAGAGAACTGAGAACCTACTCAAAATAATAATTGATTAGAACTTTCCAAGCCTACCGTATGACCTAGCAATTCCTCTTCTGGGTATCCACCCAACAATTTGAATACACTAACTGATGAAGATACATGCACCCCTGTGTTCAGTGGAGCATTATTTACAATAGCCAAAATAATGGAAACAACCCAAACATACTTCAGTGGATGACTGGATAAAGATTCAGTACACAGATACAATGGAATACTACTCGGCCATTAAAAAGGTGAGGTGTTCTCATTTGTGACAACATGGATAGATCTTGAGGTTACTTTGCTAAGTGAAATGAGTCAGACAAAAGAGAACAAAAACCGTACGATTTCATTCATATGTGGGATATTAAATAAAAAGCAACAAAGTAAATAAATTTTTACAAAAATCTCATAGATACAGACAATAGAAAGGTGGTTACCAGAGGGGAACAGGGTGAGGCCAGGACAAAATGCACAAAGAGGGTCAAGTATATGGTGACAGAAGACCAGACGTCAGGTAGTGAGTGCACGACGGACTCTGCAGACATATCATAAAGTCGTGCACCTGAAATTTATGTGTCACCCCAATGAAATTAATAGAAAGTTAAATAACTAAATGATGATAAATAGTATAGTGCAGTAGTAAACACAGAAACCCATAACAGTCATTATGATCAAGTACAGTGTACCGTACACAACTGTACGGGCTGTACTTGGACGCAGGAGGCGGTGCAACAGGTTCATTTCCGCCAGCATCGCCGCCCACGTGTGGTAACACGCGGGCTGCATGACAGATTCTCACGGCTACAGCATCACTCTGGGATGGGAACTTCTCAATCCTACCGCTCTACCTGTGGTCCGCCATTGACTGAAACATCACTATATGCATGACTATATATCAACACCTAGCCACTTCCTACCGGGAATTAATTTTTAACGTAAACCAATGGAGCACTGTATTTAATGGGATCAGTACTTTCAGTTCTGTGCTTTTCCTTCTGAAACGAAATATGCCTTCAGGTGCTGCATTTGTCTTCAGGTGTTAAGTTAGAATCCCCTCATCTCCGAAGACCTGTGCATTAAGGAAGTCTGTCTTGGCCCTCGATCGATTGTACTCTGTGTTAAGACACTCAGAGGCAATGTCTCCTACATCCTGTCTCTCACACAGTGTCGCTGTCCGGAGCTACAGTCCCCCAGGTGAACACTGAGCCTCAGGGGCAGCTGCAGCAGCACGCCGTGGGTCTCCCCCTTCAGCAGACACGGCAGTAACCGGACAGCTCCAGGGTCCCGACCCCCAGGATTCTGACTCAGCAGCCTGGACGGTGGAGCACGAGAATTTTCTGTTTCACAAGCCTCCTGAGGATGTCCCCTGTTACCCGCAGATGATGATCTGAGAAATACCTTGAAGAGAAATGCAAACTCACTACCCAGGGAGCACGCCGTCACACGCTGTCACACACGGTCAGAACGTCCACGGTCCCCGGGGGGGCCTACCTGCTTCAGCATCCTCGGGCCTGCGTTCTTCGCCAGCGGCATCAGGCGGTGGCCGGACAGACGGGACTCGCCTGGGGAACTGCCCTTCCGTGTCGTCCAGCGAGTGTGTGGGCTGACTCACGGCAGCCCAGGTGTAAAGTTGATCTTGCTGCATTTAAAAATAAAGAAAAGTGTAAAGCCATTAATGCGATCACAGACATGCCGTCATCTTGACTGATACATGGCGACATCATTTCTCACATAAATATGTGTGTGGGATGTGTGGGTACAGGGGTGGTTTACAGTCGTGAGGACGTGAAACAGAGTTTATTCTTGTAGCATTCACTCATTATTGTATTATGTGTGTGTATTACAACTGTAAACCTACTTCTGCCCACCCCAGTATATATATAAAACACTAAATCCTATCCGGTGCACAGTTTTAACACACATTGTTTCACACGGTCATTCCATTTCTTAACCATGCTTGTCTCAACTTCTTTTTCACGGAGAAATGGAAATGTTTCTTTGGAAGGGCAGACGCCACGTGGGCCCGCAGGGAACTATGAAATCCGAGTATCCAGACACTTCGCAGGAGAACTTCTTGGACGGGCATCTTTCATCCATTTGAACATGCTGTCCCTTTAAAATCTGGTTAAACACTTGAGGCAAAGTCCAAGGACAGGCTGTCCTTGGGCATCCCAGGGCAGAACCGCTTCCTGGCCTTCCTTCCACACAAAAGGCCCAGGAAACCCACTTATCTGGGGTGCAGACTGGGGACTGTCTGGGAGGGAAACCATGAAGAAGGAAACGAGGCTGCCAAGGCCGAAAGAACTGGACGGCGATCTGCTGGCCGAGCAAGGCCTTCACAGCCACAGACCAGCAGGGTCTGGGCAGAGCGAGGAGTCTGGGCAGCGCACCTACTGCCAAGGAGCGAAGTGGAAATCTCACAGAGGAGGCCGCTCTGAGGCCCTGTAAACGCCTTGGAAAACTGCTCGTTCGGATTCCAGAGTGAATAACATGTTCCCTGATAGGACGCGTGCTCTCGTTCCAGAACACCGTGAGAGCAGCGGGGGTTCCTGGCCTGGGCACTGACCGTCATTGCACTTTGCACCCAACAAACCCCGCAGCATGGCCTCAACTGTCCGGGCACGTCTCTCTCTCTGTGGCATCGCTGTTTAACATTTCGGGAATGCCGCTGGTGTTTTCCCCAAGTGGTGTATACAAGCTCCTTGCCACCAGTTACCATATCCTGTAACCCCGTGTTTTCTTTAGGATATTATGACAGACACACAGTGAGTAGTGAAGAACTACAAGAGTCAAGGTCAATAAAAGTGGTCTTTTAACAAATCAAATCGTAGCTTTGTATCTCGGTTCAAACAGAGATGTGTTTCCCATAGCAACAACGCCACTCCCTTAAATTCTGAAGGCCTGTTTTGACTTTGGTTGAAGTGGCCAATTTATTCCTGTTAAAGAAAACAAATACAGGCTTTCTACAAAGGCATAAAGGGAGATTTAAAATCACAACATAAGCCCTGGCTGGTGTGGATCAGTGGATTGAGTGCCAGCCTGGGAACCGAAAGGTCTGTGGTTCGATTCTCAGTCAGGGCACATGCCTGGGTTGCAGGCCAGGCCCCTAGGAGGGGGCTTATGAGAGGCAACCGATTGATGTACCTCTGGCACATCAATGTTTCCCTCCCTCCCTTCCCCTCTCTCTAAAAATAAATAAAATCTTTTTTAAAAATCACAACTTAAAATTGGCGTAAACAAACCACAAAATAAAAAAGAAAACATGTTACTTTCAACAAGTATTCTCTCATCTTTATCACCTGAGTTATAAATTATAATCCCTCAAATAACTCAGCACTACAGTATGCAAACACTTATTCTCGAGGGCCCACTAGAAAACACTAATGCTCACAGTTAGGCATTCTGAGAGCTCTTCACTGAGACTGTTACAGCCAGGGGGAGGGTCTGGGTACCACCTGCAGGCATTTAACGTTCTTCTGAGAGTGCTATCCACAAGAACATTCCACAGCCCGTTGGTCTGTGCGACAAAGCAAAGTCACAACTACTCCCTGACAGGACTGTTGCCCTGCTCTTGGCTGTTCCTATGACGGACTCATCAGAGAATGGAGACGGGATGTGCATACTCATGGGGATAAATCTTAGTTGGGGTTTCCCGCTTCCTAGTAAGCAGCCAGAACTGCCCCAGCTCAGAGGCCAGGGAATCCACATTTGAGCGGTAAAATATAGTAACTATATCCCAGACGATCCAAGAAGCTCAACCTCCCGTCAAACCTCAAAAGTTTGCCTGAGGGAAAAAAATGTTTTTTGAAAAAAAAATGCCTAAAAGCATGCAGTTCACCCATTTCTTTGCAGATACTCTGAAATCTATCCCCAGAATGCACAGGGAAAAACCTGTGGCCACCAGCAGGGGGCTCTTTACCGCCACCTGCTGATCCTGGCCTGGAACTGCTTCAACCGAACTGTGCTTGGCTGGGACCTGGAAGGAAGACCAGAGGGCGACTAGGAGCCCTGAAGGAGACTGCTGAAAACCTCCCCCCGCTACACAGTGTTGGGGCAGCAGAAGGCTAATTTATTTCTGACTTTAGAACGTCCAAGCTTCATCTGAAGAATTAAAGACTCGGATGGCATTTTGAGTTTATTTGTGCTTTTCCGAGTCTTAGGGACCATTGTCTTTGCTTTGGGATTTGGCTATCAGAAAATCTGAAACGAGTATGGGGCCCACCTGCCGCGGGTTTGGGGGTTCTAGGATAATGTCTTCCACTGGCCACATTCCTGGCTCTGTTTTATGTTCCAGCTCAGTTTTGTTTCCTTTGCCAAATCTAAACAACTTTCCCATGTGCGTTTTAGTTGGGTATGGCAAACTGATTCTACAATTTATATTGAAAGGGCTTAAAATGACCACGATAGTCTTTTTTTAAAAAATTGCAGTAAAAACAACCCTTGGCTGGCATAGCTCAGTGGATTGAGCACAGGCTGTGAACCAAAGCTTCATAGGTTTGATTCCCAGTCAGGGCACACGCCTGGGTTGCAGGCCATGGCCCCCAGTAACCACACATTGATGTTTCTCTCTCTCTCTTTCTCCCTCACTCCCCTTCCCCTCTAAAAATAAATTTAAAAAATCTTTTAAAAAATTCAAAAGCTATTAGCATTTAACATAATTTTAAAAAATTGCAGTAAAAACACTCAAACTATCCCAGACACTAAGTCGTACTACAGGGACTACTAACGAAGCACTCCCATTTCTGTGCAATGATACACTAACGCACAGTGGGATAAAGACCCACCACCAGGCTCTCACCTCCAGAGACAAAATGCGACCTTCATCTGACATGCGTTAAACTTCTCTCTTTCCTCTGGTTATCTTTATGGAGGATGTTATTAACCACGCTTTCAATACTACTGATCCAAATACTGATGAAATCAGCTGGGGAAAAATTATCACGTGAGTTCTCTTTGCCATGCACCATGAGCACAGGGCTTGGTTGGGGAATTTGGGTAACCACAGGAGAATGAGAAAAATAATTAAGAATCCAAAGGATAAATAAGACATACAATATTAAACACACAAATGTGGTATTAGCTCGTTTCTCAAGAGATGTTACATCTGGATTGAAACCCATAAATTAGCAATATTTGGCTCACCATTTCCTCAACTAGACGGTGTAAGAGAATGTGGGCAAAACGGGGTGCACTAGGGGTTCAGAAGAAAGTTAAGTAATAATTAACCAGTTACTGGACGGGTACGCTGGTCACACAGTGCCCTCACGGGACAGCCGGCCCAGACTGTGGGACACATCTTCTCAGTAGACAGATCAAGTGTGGTCATGAGAAAGAGATGCAGTTATATGATTTTTAAAAGTATTTGACCTACATTTACAAGTCCATTTCTGTTCAATTTGACATCTCATTACTCCAGTCTAAAATGTCTCTTTCCTCATGATACATTAGGAAGAAATACATCTGAACAACCTTGTTGGTGGCATTGAGCAGAATATCATTAAGTAACATTGATAATGCTCTGAACATCATTCCTGAGGAGGCCAGCTGACTACACAAGGTCACAGCAAATGCAGGAAAAGAAAGCCAGGTTTTCCTACAACCCACTAAACATATATGCTTTCCCTTAACATGGAGCTTATACTCTCAGGCCTTAAAAACCACATTTAAAAAAAATAAATAATAAATCAAAGCTGAATATCATTTGGCCGTATTAAATTTTTAACACATTTTCTAGCATTATTCAGATGAAAGAAATAGAAGAGGTAGAATCTTGCAGCAATTAAGAGGATACTTTTGAAGTTTAAAAGTTAGTTCAGTCCCAGACCGTGGCTGGCATAGCTCAGTGGATTGAGTGCGGGCTGCAAACCAAAGTGTCGCAGGTTCGATTCCCAGTCAGGGTACATGCCTGGGTTGCAGGCCATGACCCCCAACAACTGCATATTGATGTTTCTCTCTCTCTCTATCTCCCTCCCTTCCCTCTCTAAAAATAAATAAATGAATAAAAATCTTTAAAAAAAAAGTTAGTTCAGTCCCTACTTGCTACTCTTAGATTTGAACAAGTTCATCTGCCTGAACCACAGCTTTCCCTGTGTGACATGAAGACGAGGTAATTTCTGCAAATCCCAGTGTCTCTGGCTCTAGTAAGGGTTCGATAAATAGCACCACCCACAGTTACTAATAATAGTAGCTATTATACTAATGCACTACTTTCACATTCAGGAAACTGTCTATTATAACTCTTCAGGAAAAGATAAAAATAAATCATAGAGTGTAACTGTGCAAAAGCTATTACTGCAGTGAAGGAAAGCACGAAACCAATGCCTGGTGACTGAGACGGCACCGCGTGCATGAAGTGACCCCTCCCACAGACTACTCACTGCCCCACACACACTTCAGTTCTCAGGGCCAATTCACTGTGAGCGTCGGCTTCACGCCGGATACACTGGGCATGTGACTCAGCCATCCACCTTCCTACGGCTTCAGAAGACGGCCATCCTCTGAAGGATTGGCTTTACATAAACTACAGCAGCGTAAGGGAAAACAAAGTTTGACCTGGTAAACAATGCACAGTGTTAGGGAAGTCTTCAGTTTTATAAAGTCGATAGTTACGTGTCTTCTGGCATGAAGAAAGTATTTTCA